GAGAAACGCATAATACCTCCTTAACATTTATTTATTGAGTGTAGTGATGGCCAGTGCCCACATTCCTTGGGGCTCTTGTGGTAGGCGTGTGATTGCCTTACGACACCATCCTATGCATGTTCAGGCAGAAAATGGGCCTACGACTCCCAGCATGCCCAGCCATAATGGCTCTGCATGTTTGGCTAGTTTTCTAGCCTGAACATTGGGGCATCCACCTTGTGCTGCTGCCTTTCAGTGCGCCCACCTGCCTGCCTGCTTCCCTCCCCCTCTCCAGCACTTTATTTAGACAAAATGCCTTTGCTGCATCTGCACATAATCCCCCAAGCTGCCCGGGGCATGTGGGGAGTTAGAAGCCTTTTCTCAGTCTAAACTTGCATAGGGTTGTGCCCAGAGTTATACAAGCTGAACAATATTCCTTTTAGGTCCTTTGGTGAATGTAGACATAAGAATCAGATCTTGTGAAAGGCGGAGACTTTTCTTTGGGCCTAACTTGTCCACTGGCAACATCTAATCTGAAGGTTGTCACTGGTGTCAGGTTACATTAGAAAAGCAAACCTGTTAAAAAGAATGGAACTATTTCTGAAGAACTCTTTCCCCAGTGCTGCAAAACAAGAGCTATCCACAAAAAAGTAATTTCAGCACTTCTCTTCCATAAAATTGCAAGTTGTACACATTTTCATTAAAAAGGAAAACATTTGAGGTTTTGCTTCTGCTTTCAAAAACTCCAGTTAGGCCATGAGACTTTGAGCATCGTTCAGTAATACTTTGTTTTTTCTGGCAGAGCTCCTCTATTTCAACTGTTGTTTACTAGGCAGAACTGAAACAGGTACTGTTTTCTCTGACATAGGGAAGTAGTTACAATAGAAACTTTTGCAGTTGTTTCTGATTTTAGCAGGCATCTTCTGAGCTACTATACACTTGAAAAGCAGCAACGAAACTCACAACATTTTACTAAGATTAGTTGTAGGTCAGGAACAGTAAATATGTCCAACAGACACAAGATAATCCTCAACAAAAAGGGGACAAAGAATGTTAAGAAATGGGATGGCTATTTGTGCATTGACGAACAGGAACAAAGACACCACTAAAAAGGAGGATGAAAGAAAACAAAGATTTGCATAGAATTAGCATAGCCTGTTATATACATGCAAATTTAGCACTGATTATTATGCTTAGAATAGAAATGCTGTATGAAGCTTGCTGTCCTTTCTCATGGCTCTTTAACATTAAGTCAGGCTTACAGGGGTCATTTCTTCAAACAGAAGGAGAATGCCTCCAAATAGGCCTGCCCTCTTAAACTAGGTCACACAGCCAGTTTACATGGGTACTTCCAGTGGTACCATGGTACATTGTGCAGCTGTTCTAGCCTTTCATGGAGGTTTTGTGGGTGGAAAAGGAGATGGTGGGGGAATACTGGAGGGTTCTGATCAGTATCTCCTCCCCACATAAAATCCCATAAATCAGGTAGGGCAACTGTATGCTAAAAGACTTGGGGCTGAAAGAAATAGGGGACTTACACCCAGTTGACTCTCTTGTGCAAGCAGTGGGTCCCGCAGCTTCCATTGTGTGGACAGAATCCATTACTTGTGCAACAGAGATGTTGTTGTTAGTTGCAAAGTTGTGCCTGACCCATCACGACCCCATGGACAACATTCCTCTATTCCTCCAAATTTCCCAATTTTGAACCAATCAATAGTTCCATGTCCAGTTCTCACTGTTGCTTCTTGACCCACATACAGGTTTTTCAAGAGACAAATGAGATCGTCTGGTGCTCCCATCTCTTTAAGAACTTGCCGCAATTTGTTGTGATCCACACAATCAAAGGCTTTAGCATAGTCAATGAAGCAGAAGTAAAAGTTTTCCTGGAACTCCCTAGCTTTCTCTATGATCCAGCGTATGTTGTCAATTTGATCTCTAGTTTCAGAGAGACATATTATATATATAGAAAAGAAATATATATAGAAAGATATATATTCTATATATAACAGAGATATATTGCTTCCCAAAGAAAGCTCTGAAACCGGCAGACACACTCATTTCTTGACTGCAGCAGCATAGAAGAATTGACAAAGACAAGCTCCCTGCTTGGATTCCATCTTTGAAAGCACCCTTCTGAGAAGAACATACTCTTCTGGGCATGATAAAGCTCTGCTGACCTCTGCTGGCCCACTTGATTTGAATGCTGCTTTTTAATATTGTTAAAAGGCCAGGATTTGAGTCTATGTCTAGTATCACAATGTGTGGCAATCTCACACAGTGGATTTTAGGGGATGCATCCATTCTGGGAACCGGTGATTGGCTAATGGCTCTTAACGCATGTGCAGACTGCTTATATGCCATGAAACAGACATATAAGGTCCATCTTATGTGTTATGCAACAGACACATAAGAACATTCCATCTGCAAATGTATTGGGGATGTTATTTTCTTTGGTCACTCTTATTCAATTACAGGAAAGTTTTGGAGAAATTTTCATGGGTGCTGTTCAGGGCATTTTGAGATCAGGATGTGTGGTTGGCCAGGAAAGATGCAAAGTGCTGGAGAAATGTGCAAAAGAAGAGAAATATACACACAGACACTGCAACTTTAGCAGTGGCTGCACCTAAACAACCACTGTGGGGAAAAATATGATGTTAAGCTACTGCCCCACCTCCATGAAGCTATAAAGAAGCTTCTCCTCCCTTTGGAATAATTTGGTGAAATTTCTCTGCCCACAAATGAAATTCTGAAATGCCTTTTACACACAGCTATAGCATGTGCAAGAGAGTGATTTTGGTGTAGGAAAAGTAGAATGGGTGAAAATGTGTTCAGCGGGGAAAGGCCACCCCAGAAAGCTTTCCTCCAAAGTGGCTGGTGGCAATGGTGTTGCTGCCAAGTGGCTGAATGGCCAAGAGATTGGAAAGAGCATCCAAGAGTCAGTGGAAGTATCACTAGTGTCAAAGGTGAGCATGGTCAGGCACCTGCCAAAGGCCTGCATCTCAGAAGGAGTTTATGGAGAAGAGTACCCTGGAACTGCTCCTCCTTTTCACCATTACTTGTTCTCCTGCCTCTGGCCCAGAAAAATATGGTGGTGCGAAGGATGAATGATAGATGTGACTGCCTGCATACTCAATAGCTCCTTGTCTGATAAGCAACGGAGTGGTAGCAATGGTAGGAAAGTAACTGAGGAGCAAGAGTAGCTGATGGTGAGAAGGAAGCCGCCTTGAGGTAGCAGGTCCACTGAGAGTGTCTTGCCCAAACCTGCAGCCAGCACTGATGGAGCAGAAGTGCTCTGCAGTTCCTCCATCCCCACCCATGAGGTTAGGCTTCAGATCCTACCCGGCTTAGAACCAGCGACACTGAGTGGATGTCTGCATGTGCTTCCTTTGCAAACTGCCACGGTGCTTTGCTCCTTGCTGCCGCCTGGTTGTACTGCCTTGCTGTGCTTCCGCTGGAGAGCGTGTGGCAAAATGCTTTCCTGGGTGTGGACTGGAACCAGCAGCCTGCTGAGTTTGTGTCTGCTACAGCAGACGGGTTTGCAGGGCTCAGTGAACCGTGTGGCTGCCCAGCGGCTTCTCGTCTGCAGGGGGCACAGGGGCATGATGGACAGGTGCCTAGCTCAGCCCCACTCCGTGTCTAAGTGGCAAGTGGGTGCCACTACTGAATCAGCCTGATTTAGGGGTGACAAGGGTATGACTGCCATTTTAGGATTATACGAGTAATGCATTTCCCCGTTCCTGACTGGGTGAATATTTGCTTGACTGCAGTATCTCCAGTCCCAGGCTAGCTGGTGCACAGCAGAGGTGGGTAACAGGCTTCCCCATCACCAACAGTGGTAATAATCCGCTCCCATTTTAGAAAATGCATCAGGAACATTTTCTTCTTTGACTACTACAGTGCATCCAAAGGGTCGACATTAGCTTGCAAATTATCTGTGCTTGACCCGTTTGGAGCTGTTGCTGCTCTGGATTTCATTTATTCCTGGCACTGTGGGGCATGTGCGTGTATACAAGCCACAGAGAGGGGAGAGTCCGCGGGAATTTGGGAGGTTAAAAGGTCCCCAAATTCTCCAAAGTTAACCACTCCTGGTGTGTATGATGACTCTTCATATCTATCCAGTTGCATCCCATACCTGCAAAAGAGATGGCTCAAGAAACCAGTGCAGTACATTTGCTACGTATTTGAACTGAGCGCCTGGAAGCCCTTGTAGCTTGTGGTGTAAGGGCTTCCAGTGACCAGAGGAAAAAGCTCAGTGCACTTGCCTCATCACCCCAGGCTGCTCCTCTCATCTCTTGACTCATAGGAATACTTGGTTAGGTTATCAGTTTCAGTGTCTTGATTAAATCTGGTGTAAACAAATATGAAGTGAACTTTTGTTGCTATGTGCCATCAAATTGTCTCCAACTTATGGCGACCATATGCATGAATGCCCCTGAAGTGCCCTGTCTTTGACCGCCCTGCTCAGCTCTTGTACATTTAAGACTGCAGCTTCTTTGCTGGAATCAATCCATCTCCTGGTTGGAAAGCTGGCTATCAGGAATATGATATAAAATATCTTGCTGGAAAAACTAACAAGTCCAGCATGTACGTCTCTAGGCCCAGACAATTTCAAACTCTAGAAGTAAAATCCTGCATGCCAAGCCTTGTACTTGTGCAACCTTATACCCATCTGGAATAGGTGAAAAAGAAAACGTGGTGGTAGAGGTGGGTCGGGGGAGAAATCTATGTTCTCCAGACCTAGAACATTGTAATCAGGATAATTATACATCTTGTGATGCCGTGCATAAGTACGTATCTCCCCTTTTCTTGCTAAGATGCCTGGAGAAGAACAGCCATGATGGCCTCTGCTCAAGGGAGTCTGTTTCCTCTATTCCAGAGCCAACTTGGAGAGAACTCCCCATTCCAGAGCTCTCCTAGAAGCCACCTCCTCTTCCTTCACTGCCTCCTGCTCCTCCTCCCCTTCGCCTGACCAGATTGTATTTATCCTAGCAGGTCAAACCAGACTGCATAGAAAGCACACATTCTCAAGGGAAGACTTTTTTTTAATATGGAATATAAAAGGCGCGTCTCCCTGTTACACAGAAGTCATCTTTTCATCCCAACAAGCTCCTTGCCCATTAACCTTAACACAAGGGAATGCCATTTCTAAGAGCATTCTGTGCTAATGCACAAAGCTCAGTTCTGCGGCAAAGAAGGAAAGGTTGTGGGAGGGGGGAGCTGTAAGGAAGGCAACAGTGGGGAGAGAACATGATCAATGGGGCCTATGAATTACTTTCAGAAGAAGGAAGTCTACCCTCTGGATGTGCCATCTTGGAAGAGAGGACAAAGCTGCTCTTGGAAGGTTTTGGTACCACTGGTAACAAACACTCTAACCCCTTCCATCTAGGTTCCATGAATATTGATACCTGGACTGACTACAGTGAACTTGCTTTTCCTGCAGGCAGGACCTAGTACTTACACAATAGGAAAAGGTGCAAGAGAAGCCCTCTAGTGTTATTGCTCTACTGGCAACAGCACACTTTTGTCACTGCAAAACTATGCCCATCATTCCTGTTCTGCCAGGGAAGAGCAAGTATGTAAAGCTGTAGGTGCAATGAGCTGCCGGCTTTACTACTTAGTACAGCTGCCTGTGGGGCTGGTGAGGAACCACAAATCCCACCGCCAGCTTTCAGCACAGCTTTTACAGTCACTTCCCTGGAATCGCCCCGCAACCCAAAATCAGTGGAACGGCAGAGAACACATTTCAACTCGCCTGCACCACCCAAGAGAAACCCCAAACCTTTCACTCATCCAGGAACACATTTGGCAGCTTTGCAACCTCTTCTCAGCGCTCACTTCTCTTTTGTGTTCACAGATGTGGCAATGATTAATCAAACCCCAAAGCAGCCTAAAAAAGGAGGCAGGCAGAGAAGAAAGAGGGAGGTCTCTTCCCCGACTCACTCCCCTCTTGCTCCCCCCACCCCCAGAGAGGGGAGTGCAGTGCAGCACACGGGTCCTTTAGCAACCACAGCACACCAGTCCACAAAGGGGCTCATAAAGCAAACATCCCGTCCTCTTCTTTTTCCTTCTTCCGGTGTGGGCCAGAGTTGGTGGAGGCAGAAGGAATTCCGGCTGGGGGACTCGGAAGGTTGGGCAGCTGATCAGCCACCTTGGCTCGTTCCTCCAGGAATTTGTCAAACTCTGCCAAGAAAGAAATAGAGGGGATTTTGAGGAAGCAGGAATCAAACCAGAGCTGGAAGAGGCTGGCAGTTCTTATGCTGTGCTGGCACAGATAGGGCACCTTCATTTCAGATCACCTGGGGAGGTAGACTTTGCGTCTCTCATGCAACTCCTACACTCAGGACATTTCTGCAATGCACCCCAACCGAGCTGTGATATAACACCACCTTATATAATCTTTAGGATCACAAGTAAGTTGAGAAGATTTTGCATGTGTTGCTCATTCATGCAGGATTTTTACAGATATTAAAATATTAGCTGAAAAGCATCCCATGTCTATGAGAATGAATGGGAAAGCAGCCTTTTAAACAAGGGAGTAGGGTTCAGCAGTAACTTGCCTTCACTGGTGACACCTTTTGGATCCACTGTCTCATTTCCCTGAGAAGAGAGAACAAAAGGGAGCGTGGGAATCACGAAATATTGTATCAAAGTGCATGGGGCTCAATTTTGCAGACAGAGAATTCAATTGCTGTTGAGAAGGGATTTGGCACATGTTAACCTGCCTTGGCTTGCCCACCCCCCTCCCGCCCAAGAAGCAGCAGGCATTTCATGGAGGAAATGGTTCGGATGTCAACGCCAGACTTCTACTCCCAGTTTAATGGGGGTTAAACTGATGACCCGCAGAAATGGTGAAACTTGGAGGGATTCCCTCTGCACCAACATCAGAAGACAGAGTCTCTGGACAGGAAGGCAGGCAACATTTAACTAGGTTGCCTGCAGCGAGCAGCTTGGAGTATGCATGGCCCATGGGAAATTAGTTGTGTGAGGACAGAAAGCTCAGGCCATCTTTGAGGTTGGTGACAAAGCGATCTGGGCCGGATGGGGGGGAACATACAATGACCCATCAGAGGGTGGTTGTGCAACTCAGCCTTTGGTTCAATATTCTGCAAGCAGCCAATGTTTATAGCAGCCTGAGAGTTGTGGGAAGGGTGAGATGAGCGACAGGCTATTGGCAATGTAGAAAACTGGCTTATGCCAATTGAAAACATGGATGCATGCAAGTTGGGTCTTCTACGCTCAGGGTCCCTTCAAGAAAGCTGACAATGATTGAGGACCACCAGTCACAAAATGGCAGCAGAGTTGGGAGTTTGGCATGATCAGCTGGCAATTGTGGATGCAGTGTTATATATAACTAATCCCTCTTTGGCCATGGTTCCATTATTTGTTACAGGAACTTCCTGGTTCAGGGAGCTCCATAATTCAACTTTCTTCAGGTTAAGGACAGACATTGGCTTCGGGGTGATCATGAGCCAGCTTCCCCTTTTCTGGCAGAATGTGCTGATCCAGAGGCTCAGAGCAAAGGACTTCTTATTTTATCCCAACATGACTTTTAAACTATTTTTATCTAGTGCCATTTCTTCTTCCATTCTCTTTCATACTTGTGAACTGTTCCTCCACCAACCCAGTTTCGATCCTCCTCCTCTCCTGCCAGAGGTAATGTGTCGGTTGCAGCACTGACTGATGTCCAGCTCACATTGAGAAATGCTGGTCTCCCTTATCTGGCATCAGTTTCACATGAGGGACTTTCAAAGTTTTACCTGGAGATGCCACAGGCATAACCTGGCACATTTGTCAGGAAACACCTGTGTTCTATTCTTGAGATGCAACCCTTCTCCGAGGTACACAAGTGAAACTTCACAGTCAGGCTAACTTACTAATCAGCCAGTGCTTCAGTTTTGTCTATTACTTACGACATCACTGGAGAGCCACTTCTCAATATCTTCCATGATGGCAGCCTGGGGTACAGGAATCTGACAGGGAAAGAGAAAGGAACAAGGCTGAGAAAGACTGAGAGGAGTGGGACTTAAATTTAACCTTACCCCAACATATCTTTACACTGCATCATTCATTTAACCAAGAGCTGCTTCCAAAACCAGATTTTAATCAGTACAGCCCCGTCTGTGATAAAACTCATCTCTTAGGACACACAAGCATTACCTGAGAATTCTCACATAGTTGTCGGTTAGCTTTGAATGGCATTGATGTAAACCTAAATTCTTCTGAAGAGGCTGAGAGAGTCTTCAGTTCTGCATTAAGCAGTAGTTTCAGAAGCAACCCTCAAAGATAGTCAGTCTCATGATCTGCACAGGGTATGTATCGTGACATAGAAGGACTCAGCTGTTTTTATAGCAGCATGGGAAAAAAATTAAGTCTTTGATTTTTAGCATGCAACAAGATGCACTTTGTGGGGGACGCATGCTCTCCACACAGCCACTTAGTCAAGCCCAGAATATCAGTCAATCGGAATCTGTCATGTCAGACCTACCAGGATATCTTTATTCAGTTTCTATGAAGCACTTCATGATCTTTTAAAGGTAGTTTTCATTTTTATTAAGGCACAAGCAAATTTTGGATGCTTGATTATTACACCCATCTTTAGCACATTCCCTTAAAACAGAGGGATGGAAGACAGTCTATGCTATGGATGAAGACATTCACATGTCCTGTTTGTTCATTGTTGGCTTTTGGGGGTGACTGGCTGGCTGCTATTGGAACCAGAATACTGGATTATTTTTTGATGGGTCTTGGTCTGAGCTGGGAGGGTAGTTTTTATATTCTAAAAAAATAATGGAAATACAAGGCCTGCATATGACCCTGGTGCTTTAGGCCAACAATGGTGCTATTGCTGTTAGGCATATACGTATGTGACCTACGAGATTTAGTCTCCATCCCAAACAGAAGGTAACAGAAGGTGTAATGGATTGGATTCTCTGGATTTACACTGTAATTCTATGAAATGAAGAACAGCAGAAGAAATGCCCAGTTCCTACAAAAATTCTTTCCAAAACTGACCCGTGTCAAACCAAGCGAAGGGAAAATATTTGAGGTAGAGAAAGTGATCTTTTTTATTCAAATAAGAGTTTTCAAATGTGGAGTCTTCTTAACCAGCAGAATTTGATAATTTATGCCCCCTTTCCACACCAATTATAAGAGCAAGCAGAAGCTGGCCCAAATGCACAGACCCATAAGTCCAAAAGGAAATTTCCAGAAGATGGTGGCAGGGTGGGGGAAGCAAAGGGGGAAGAAGAATCAGCTGTTCATACAGGTTACCTTAAGCAGAAATAAAAGTAAGCAACTTCCTGCTACTAAATTCAGGAAATTTTGTTGATTCTATGCTTTCCAATGGATGGGAAAGAAGAGAGCAAAGCCAAACCTATAGGGTTTATTTTGCCCAAGAACAGAACAGATTTTTTTTTTAAGGTTAGTGCCCGGAATATAAGCAATTCTTGTCTCACTCTCTTCCTTCTG